CAGTAAGTGGTTGTAGTATCTCATTACTCAATCTTAGTTCATAGGATCCCATGCCAACATTCTCAGCAAATGAATAGGATGCCTGACTGAAGGTCACATTAACAACTACAAAAATGAAAAAATAGTAATAAACTTATACTAGAATTTATGAAGAGTAAAGGACATGCAGCAAGTAATATCCTTACCATCATTATCATCTATCACTACTGTTGTATTAGATCCTAATCTGACTCTTGAATTACCAGTTGGGCCAGTGAATCTTATCTGATATGTCTCGTCTGTTTCTAGTGCAGCACTATCATCAGTGATAGAAAAGATAGGTCCTTCTTCTGTTCTGGAACCAAATGCAGTGAATGTGGCTGAGCCAGAAATATCAGCACCAGAAATACGAACTGAACTAGGTTGGCTACCAGGTCCTATAATGAGAAGATATCAATAAAAGATAGAGAGGGAATAATTACCTCCAGCATAGGTTATTGTCAGATCAGTTGCTATATCTTTGTCAAGGGTGACCATTATATCATCAACTGTTCCTTCATCCTCCGAATATAGATATCGAGAATTTTCAAACTCAACTGTGACAACTAAAAATAGCAAAAATAAAAAATAACAACACAATGATATCAATGACAGTACAAGTAATAGTGACACTTACCATCATCATCTCTGATAGCTATGCCAGTGCTGTCAGCAGCAACAACATTTTGAGTTACTGATGGATTAGAGATTGAGAGTGAGTAGCTCTCAACTGTTTCCAATGCAACATCATCATTTGTTATAACAAAAGAAGGGAGAGATTCAGTGAGTGAACTGTTAGCAGCAAAAGTTACAGTTGAGCTCACATTAGCACCAGAAACAACTACTGAGCTAGGCTGACTTCCAGGTCCTAGGAACAAAAGATTAGTAATACTGAATGAATGCAGCAATAAATGTTAGGTTTAATACATATTATAGTACCATTAAAGCTCAACTTTACAATAGAATGATTGCTATAAAATTTTTTTGATACTGACAATATGATGCTACCTACCTCCTGATACAAGAACAGAGAGTGGACGTGCAATTGTTGTGTTAAGTCTCAGCATTATATTACTAACAGTTCCATTACTCTCAAAATAAGAATAACTTGATTGAGCAAATGTGACACTGACAACTATATCACAATGGAAAAAGTTTTAAAACACATCATTCTATAATAATAAAAATTACCATCATCATCAAAAATAGAGACTTGACTGCTTGGTCCTAGTCTAACTTTACTGCCATCAGGGAAACTGTGCTGAGAGAATCTCAATTGGAATCTCTCAGGATCTTCCAGGGCAATTAAATCATCATTCAAACCAAAGGATATAAATCCAACCCTCTGTGATATGCTAAATGTTATATTCTGATTAACAGATCCTGGATGAAAACAAAAGGAAAATTGATCAAAATACATACAAACCAAGCATTGCTATGTAATATACAGGTATTGTAAAGACTAACATGCTGTTGTAACTCACCTCCTTCAGTTCTAACTGTCACTGTCAGTGCTTGAGAAATGTTCCTGCTTAGGCTGACTGATACTTGAGCCATCCCTCCATTCTCAAAGAATGAGTACATTGGACTACTAAATGTCACATCAACAACTAAAATGTGTAAGAAATATGAAGGTATCCTTTAAAGAGCAACTATTTACCATCATCATCATTAATGGATAGAGTAGTGTCTGATCCTAGACTCACTCTGCTTTCATCAGCAGTATAATCATGATTAATTAATGATAGATCATATTGTTCAACTGCTTCTAATGCAAATGCATCATCATTTAGATCAAAATTACTCAGTGACACTGATCTACTGCCACCTGCAATAAAACTTATAGATTTATTCACATCAACACCTGAAACAACAACAGAAGATGATTGACTGCCAGGGCCTAATGAAGAAACAAATACAATATAATATTATTGCTAAGTAATTTAATAAGCTACAGTATTTATTCATCTCACCTCCTCTAATGTTGACAGACAGATCTTGAGCAATTGGATTGCTTAGTTGCACCTGAATATTACTGACAGTTCCATGACTTTCACTATAACTGTAAGATGATTGCACAAAACTCACAGAAACATCTATAGAAAAACAAAAAACCATTTGCATAATCTTTATAGATTTTTCTACTTACCATCATCATCCACTATAGTTATATTCATTGTTCCTGGATTACCTAAACCTATATTATCAATTTTCTTTAATCTTAGTAGATAATGTTTATCAGGTTCCAGTGCAATGTTATTATCAACCACTGGAAAACTGATGCTCCTATTCTGTGTTATAACATTAGTACCGAATGTGACATTACCAAGTGATATTCCATCTATTTTAATGTATAAATGATATATAAGGTAATATATTATAAACATACTGCTAGTTCCATCATCAATGTAAACTTCTATGGTTTGTTCTTGACTCAATTGTGCTCCTCCTAGTATGACAGTGATTGATTGATTTCCTCCTCCTTCAGAGAATGTAGCTTGACCCATAGCAAACCTTACTTCAGCCTCTGTAAGGTAAATAATAAACACAGGGTTTTATGAATGATTATACTAACGATCATCATCTTGTATCCTGATGAATGATGGAGTCCGGTCTATTGTTAATCCATTATTTTCTGGAGATGTATTGCTTATTGATACTGTGAAGTTTTCAAATAGTTGTTCCCTAGTGGTATCATTGATAATATCAAATCTACCACATGTCCTGTTTGTAAATGCAACTAATAATGGAAGAATTCTACGAGTACTATAGTCACCTAATAATTAAAAGGACATATAATTTAATGAATAGTAATATTAAAATTTACTCCTGATTTGTGCAGTGCCATCTCTAGGTCTTATGTCTATTGTTGTATTTTCAGATAATACTCCTCCAGTAAGTACAACACATATTTCTACAGTTCCTTCATTCTCAATCACATCATATGTTCCTCTCTCTAATGATAGCACACCAACTACAAAATGAAAAAAGATATTGTCACATCTGCACTCAATAACTTACAGTCATCATCAAGAATGGTGATGGTAGCTGTCTGAAAGTCTCTCTGTACTTGAACAACATTATCACCACCAGGTGTTATGATGACTCTTAATTTTTCATCTCCCTCAATGATATCATCATCAAAAGTTGTGATAGGAGTGAATGTATCATTCAGTGTATTATTGGCTCTGTACGTGAATCTTGGAGCAGTATCAGCAAGGAAGAAATCACTACCTGTAATAAATACTAATACCAACTACATGAATATGTTAATACTTACCATTTATAGCAGTTCCAGATACTTGTCTCAAATCAACTGCCTGTAGACGAACTTCTGGAAATCCTCCAACAGCTAAACCACCAGTCTCATTTCCTATCTGCTTTATAGTTAATGGGGCTGCTTCTCCTTCTCTAAGAGTAAATTGTAGTTCTCTAAACCCAATACTGAAAACTATAAAAATACAAACAAGTTATCTCATAATTGTGCCAAATCACTTACCATCTTGATTGTCAAGTCTTACTATTTGAGTAGTTTTCAAAGGATCTAGTCTAACTCTGGAATCATTAACACTGAGTCTCCACCTAAAAATTTCTTGTAACTCCACAATATTATCACGTGGCATGGAAAAAGTCACACGTTCAAAACGTTGATCAATTGCTGTTGTTGGTTGAAATACAACACTACGCTGCTCAGTAAAGTTGAAGCGATCTAAATTAAAAGAGTGAATAAATCATTTAAAATGAAATTCCATACCGAAGTCTCCCACAGCAGCTTCATCAGGAGTCAATGTGCCAGTATACCTCTCATTTGAGACAGTGACTTCAAAAGGAGCTTCATATGTAATTACTTGACGTACAACGTTAGCTGTAGCATCACTACCTTCTAAAACCATTGATGGCTCTTCAAGACCAATAGTAATTACTATAAAGAGAGTAAGCACCATCACAATAAACTGATTTAATACAACTTACTATCTATATCATCAATCATAATGCTAAGACGTCTGTATACAAGTACAGCTCCTGATGGTATTGGTCGATCAAGTGGACCAGTTTCAACAGCAATCAAGTAATCAAATGAAAGAGTTGGTTGGAGAGCAACAGCATTCCCTTGTGATACATATCGTATGCTAAACCTTTCTGGTAGGAAACCATTGGTTCGTCCAGTAAAATCTGAACTTAAGTAGTCAGAAACTTTAATAAAAAAATACTGAAATATAAAGTAAATAAAAGCATTATCTACCATCAACTAGCATAGCTGGTTCTCTTGAAATAACATAATCCAGATCAGTAACATCAGGAGCATCAGGAGTACTGAGGAGTACATCAGCAGTAAATGAGTATCTTCTACCAGCATCACTTGGACCAATATGCACACGTGATTGATCAAAACCAACAACTAGTGAATACAATATCAAATAAATAAAAATTGGCTTAAAATAATAACATTAAAATAATAAAACAACTCAGTGTTTGTTACAATTATCTTACCAACGCATGCACCACACTGTGCAGCTAGTGAAGAGTGTCGTATATATCCTCCATCAGTTCCATTACAGCAGTCAATAGCTAGAGTGTCAGTTCCATTAGTATCACTAGTACAATTAGCAGCAGATGAATAACACTGTACAGTCTCATTGTCGTGCAATTGACCAAGAACTGCATACAGAAAAGACAGTACAAGTTTTTACTGGAAGTGATACTAACTAATGCAGCATGCAATTACCTGCAGGCAATAGTAAAGCTAGAAACAGCAGCATTGCTGTCAATTGAGCAAGAAGAGCCATCTCTCGCCTAATCTCTTCGGACCAGCTCCTTATGGAAGAACTTGTGGTGTGGCGGCCTGCGCTTTCCTTCCGGCTTTTCTTGTTCTTTCAAACCCGCGCAATTGCGCGCCACGCGCCATACGGCCAAGGGGAAATGTCTCTGTTATGGTTGAGATTGTTGGAAAACAGGAAAAGTACTTAGCCACAGCATAATAATACAGATAATAAATACAGATAATAAATAATAGTACTACTATACACTAAATCACTACTGAGTCCACAAAAATAAAATAATTAGAGTTATTAGTAACTACAGGAACTAGCATCACGTAAGAATTGGCTGAACTTGAACTCAGTTCCAAACAAATCTTCCACAATGTAGTCTTCGTATGATCCATCCAATAAAGACATGTTGGGTTTCAATATTTCGTACATACGTCCACCCTCAGAGTCTCCTACATAGATGCAAGGTTCTTTAGCAGAATCCCAAGGTCGGGATCCCATAATCCCGCCGACAGTTTTCCTTATTGTCCCATCTTGATTCAAAAACTTTAAAACAACAAAATCCTGGGGATCTTGATTACAATTACGAAGCTCAATGTCACCATTATGTCTTTGGAGCTCCACAGTAGCATTCCAAAACTGACCTATAAAATAGAGTAAGATAAACCACTGGACATGAAGTAGTATAGATCATAGTGTGACCTAAATAATGCATTCTCATAGCTAGTGCAGTGGTAGCTGGGATACATTGTGACAGTCAGACTTCAAAGGAGACAGGTAACACACCACTGTCTGTAGTGTATATAGAGATGTGTGTGGTGGTAAGAGCCTGTGAATGGCTTCAAAACCACAGGCACACCCTGACTATCACAAACACTTTTAATCCAATTACCACTCTACACACATTCTACCACTGTAATGAACATACCAATTAAACCATGAGCAGATGTTGTTATTCCTAAACCTCCTTCCACTTGTACTTCTAAGAAAGTCAGCCTCTTTTTCTCTTTCAGGACACTCTTTGATACGAAACTAAACCCGATCCTTCCTCTCTGACAATTCTTGACAGAAAGGAACACGTTTCTCTTAAAAACCCTAACATGTACACCATTTCTTTTATAAACTCCTTCTTTCATGATCTCGCCATTCAGCGATACATGACAATCTCCATTTACCAACTCAACAAGTATATCATCATTAACACATCTCTCGTTAGGCAAGTGCTTATTACTCAAAACTCTAACGCCAAACTTGTTAATAAGATGCAAATCTCTTCCAGAAGTGGGCACATTTGTATAATGTGCATTAACCGAGACACAGCTCTCAGAGAATACATTAAAGTTCTTATCAGATGTACCGTAAACCTCGTAGCATAGAGAAGGTGTTCCAGGCTCCCCTGATAGTGGTACGGTAAACAGTGGATCCCATTTGACATTGCTGTCATCTACAAAGCAAAGAAATACAATAATAATAATAATAATAATAAAGAGCTGTTTCTTTTGATCTTAATCACACTTACCATCACAGAATTCCTTGACAAGGACATGAAAGACCGTGTCAAATGAACGCCTCCGATAATTACTAAGCATAAAAACATGATGAACTGAAGGCTCAGATCCAATCCCATTCAACTCTGTAGTCAAATCATCGGTAACACCTCCACCAATATGAATGACAAATATTTCAGTGTTATCATCCGAAAGAAGGCCTTTAGCAGCATTGATGCTAGCAGAAGCATCATCAGAAGGACCTGTCGTTACTATAATGAGGACATTAGAGTCTGGAGATTGTGATAAAGAGAACTGTCTCTCTGCTTCATCAATGGCAGTGTGTAGCCATCTCTCTCCTGAGTTTGTCAGTGGTCGCTGGCGATTACGTATCCTTTGTATCAGCTCAGGTTTGCCTGATACAGAACCAAGTGCAATATCACTTGATGCTCCAGAATTGCTTCCAAACGTTAAGAGTCCAAATCGACTTGCTGATTCCGAGATCTCAAATTGATTAACGATACGAATAAAGAAACTGTTCAACGATTGGAAACTTGCTACAGACTGTGCCGTGGATTGGTCCACAAGGAACAAGACATTGTGCTGACAGCTTGACCCTATAATTGAAGAAAAAACAAGTTTACCATACAATAATTGGAATACAATGATGGGATTGGGGCTACTCATCCTTAAAATTAGTAAAGTGTTTGTGATCTCATGTGACCAATATGTGAACGGTGTGCATAAGATAAGCCACACAGATAAGACTTATCTATGGTCTACATTTGTACATGTGCATCATGTAGCTATCTGGTTGTTAAGGAATTCTATGAATTCATTGTTATGTTAAGCCAGGTGGTCAGAATATTAGAAAACAGATTTTAAAATAACAGTTATAATAATAAAAATAAAAGAATGGACTAATAGCTGACCTGAAGTGCATATCACATTAATGATTGAATCCTTCTCAGTCCTCAATGAAGCTAAATCCAGACCACTAGTAGTAAACACGAGACTGGGAACTGATGCTATGCTTTGTAGTTCAGGTTTGATATCATTTGTTCCGACAGCTGCAATTGTTATATCACCGAGACCAGAAACAGCTTCAAGTATAGCGTTCACATCACCAGACCGACCTCCGGTAAGCACAACAATGATCCTAGCAACGCCGACCCTCCCATTCTGATTAAGCTCAGCTCCTGCAAGATCAATAGCAGCTCCAGTATTTCTCTCTCTTGGTATATATTCCAGTGACATTATGTCTGCTTCAAGGCTCTTTAAATCATTGTGACGAGCTAGATTCACTACTAGCCGAGGGCTAGTACTGTATTGTACTACTCCAACGCGAGTTGTAGTTTGACTGATGTTGACTTCTGACACTGTATCAATGATGAATTGCCTCATTGACATGAAGTCGTCTTCACCAGTGGCTGTAGATGAGTCAAGGACAAAGACTACTTCAGCTTCACGACTGCAAACTAATGGCTCTGTAAAGAAATAAAGAAAAGAGAAAGAACTAATATTTGATTGGCTATTGAATTCTTTCCAGGTCTCTCCTTCCTTCCTTCTTTTAACAATAAGCTTCTCTTTTATTATTAATTTTTGATCTTTCTTTCTTTCTCCTCTCTCTCTCCCTCTCACTAACTTGTACATATTCCTTCATTCAGTTGTTCAGTTATGGCTGCAAATGACTCAGCAGTATAATTAGTGATGGTCAGAACATAAGTGCTGTCAGGATCAGTAGCAATCAAACTCAACTCGCCTTGATTAGCCCCCGATCCTATACCAATTGCAAAAACTTCAATATTCTCGCTCTTAGCAAGCTCAGCTTGAGAAGCAGTAGCTGGTGGGTTATTCGACTGTCCATCCGTAGCTACAATAAGTAACCTTCGGGCACCACTTCTACCATTAATCCTAAACTCATTTCTAGCGGCCTGTATTCCCAAATGGGTACTAGTACCACCTCCTGGGTAAGGAATGGAGACTATAGCTGAACTGAGGCTTGTCTTAGTTTGGTATTGTGGTAAGGTTATATTCGTAACGGCTTCGGTAGCAAACGTGACGATGCTTACTTGAGTACCGGTTTCCCTGTCTATGTCGTATTGGTTGCTGACATCAGAGACAAAGTTTAAAAGGTTTGTGAAGTTTCTGGAACCTACTGAGCCAGATCCATCAAGAGCAAAGATAATGTCAAGAGGTGGTAATATACAAGGGGGGACTAGAGGGAGAGAGAATAGTTAGGTTAGGATATTTCATGTATTAACACTATCATATAAAGTAGTTCTTAATACTCTCTCTCTCCTTCTCTCTCTCTCTCTCTCTCTCTGCTTACCATGACAAGTGTCTCTGACAATGTCACTAAGAATAGCACCAAAACTCTCTCTCTTAAACTCTGCCACGTTAAAAACCTTCTTCTCGCTAGTAGCAATCTCTTTCAACTCATCCTCATTGGCATTCTGACCAACACCAATAGCAAATATCTCAATCCCACTCTGGTGACTAGCCTGAGCTGCCTTCACGGTCTCATCAAAATCATTAGAGGCTCCATCAGTCAACACGATCATTACTTGCGGTACTTGTGATCTTCTATTGAGTAAGAACTGCTGCATGGCTAGTCTTATACCAGCTGCAGTGTTAGTGCTTCCTGGTTGATAAGGTACAGCATTAATGGCAGATATTAATTCTTCTCCGCTAACACTTGCTAGCCCTATGACAACAGAGGCACTAGAACTGAACCGGACTAAGCCAAAGTTTGCCGTCTCTGACGAGTTGTATTGCTTAACTATTTCTGTGAGGAATTCTTTTTGTACGTTGAAGTCGGTCGGAGTGATGGAGCTTGAGGAATCAACGACGAACATGAAGTCCATCTTTCTTTGACAAGTTGGCTCTATTGATACAATAAGAAGAGGTTAATGAAACATACAAGAGATGTGTTTGGAAAATAGTAAATGTAAACTAAGACTAAAACAATACGTCTCTTAATAATAAATATACAGTGGTGCCTCTCTATAATGGACACTTATGGATATGAAAGTGTCTCTGTTATACAGAGGTGTCCTTTATGTGGAGGTTATTTTATACAGTAAGGAATGTAATTGGTACACTAGGTGCTGTCAATTAAAAGCTATCAGTTAAGAGAGGCTATACCATCTCAAAAGTAATAATTATTCATCAGTAATTAACACAAAACTTGTCAACTCACCACAAACCCTCTCGGCCAGTGGCTTGAGCAGTGAATTAAAGAAACTCTCAGAATAATCTTGAAGGAGAGACACATGTTTACTATCAGGATCACTAGCAACAGCATTCAACTCATCCTCATCAATGCTATTACCGATACCAATAGCATATATATCAACACCATTAGCTCTTGTAGTAGCAGCTTCCTGTACTGTGAGTTCAGGATCGTTTGACTGACCATCTGTCACAATTAGTACAGCACGAGGAACACTCTCTCGACCATTCTTTAATAATTCTTCTCTAGCTATCCTCAACGCTTCTGCAGTATTAGTGAGTCCGGGCTTTTGCTGTATCCCACTTATTGCTTGATTTAGTTCATTTTGTGAGTCAAACTCTCCCAGTTCGATGCTGAGGTAAGCGTCGGTACTAAAAGTGACGACTCCGAATTGAGCCTGACCTGTACCGATTGGGAACTCGCTGGTGAATTGGGCAACAAATCTCTTGATGGAGTTAAAGTCGTCTGGAAGAATGCTGGCAGAGGAATCCATTAGTATTATCATGTCTATCTTTCCTCCACAGACTTGAGCTGCACAAAATTATATAAAAATAAAAATATATACATACATGTAATTATTTTAAAAGAGGTGACTTAACATATAAAATACTGGCTAGGCAAATAAATAAATAAATAAATAAATAAATAAATAATAAAATGATAAATGGAAATACAGTCAGTTACTTACTATCATCATCAGTGATTCCTATTCTGGTGCTTGGTCTTGTAACTTTAACAAATTCATCATCTGCTCTTATCGAGGCAGTGAAGAACTCTAGTGTCTCTGGGACAGCATCATTCATTATGTTAAACCGTGCAGTGGTCATTGGTTGTGTTGGGTTTAGAGTGTAGGTTTTCATTACACCAGTGTAATCATCATCACCTGTAAAGAGGAGAGTAACAGACTTGCTCCAAAATCGGGCCAAAGTCACTGTACTATAGTACAGGGTCATCGGCCAAATTTCATCAAAAATGAAAAGTTGAGAATTCTCCACTATTATAATTTTTTCTGATGCATATACATGTATTTATGTTGTGTAGAAAATTTGAACTGATTCCGATCGAGTTTAAATTTTTTATGAATTTTTAAAGTTGCATCCAAAATTGGGTGAAAGTCCCTGTACTATAGTACAGGGTCATCGGCCAAATTTCGTCAAAAATGAAAAGTTGAGAATTCTCCACTTCTGTAAGTTTTTCTAATGTATATACATGTATTTATGTTGTGTAGAAAATTTTTGCTGATTTCAATCAAGTTTGGATTTTTTATGAATTTTTAAAGTTGCTCAAAAATTGGACCCTGTCTGTACTATATAGTACACAAAACATAATTTCATCAAAAATGGCTAGGAGGAAATTTCTTGCATTTCCTGAGATAATAGGCCAATAATGGCTTTCTAAGCTAACAAAAGATTTCTCTTACTTGTAGCTGTTCCATCTATAAATGAAAACTGTACATCAACCTGTCTGTTCAGTGTCCCATTTAAAATACCAAAAGACACGTCAACAAACGAGCCATTCTCAGCAACTGTGTAACGAGGCTTTGCAAACCCGATCGTCACCTCTGTTAATTGAAAAGATAACATCAAATACAATAAAGGTAGCAATTGCCAACTAATAATATAGTGTCTCTAAACACAACTAAGTTTACCATTTACTACAATATCAAAAGGAATACCATTATTGTTTTACTAGTGAACAAATTTACATACTAAAATAGAATTAATACAATATTTTAGGGAGCTACTATAGCCCTCAATATTCACTTTGACACTGTAAATATTGGTTCTATTAAAATAATACAAAGTATAATACTTTTTCTCTGAATTTCTAGCACTTAAAGTTAAAATACATTTAGTTCAACGTACCACAAGTTTCTCTAATAATTGGTCCTAATATAGTTACAAATTGTTCCCTTGAGAAATTGGAGATAAGAAAGACATTGTCATTACTAGGAACGTTAGCAATTCCATTCAACTCTTCAGTATCAATCTGCGGTCCTATACCAATGCTTAATATACGAATCCCCTCGTTTTTAGTTTCCAGAGCTTCTTGAAAAGTTGCTGCAGGGTCGTCAGAACGACCATCAGTAAACAGAATTATAACTTTTGGTACTCCTGCTCGGCCATTTTGCAAGAGCTCCTCTCTCCCTGTCTCTATGGCCTCAGCAGTGTTTGTAGTCCTTGCCTTATAAGGTAGGTTCATTACTTCTATGTAGAACGAGGCAGGGTTTGAGTGTCGCCCAAGTGGAATATCCAGTGAGACTACACCTGAGAAAGTGACGACGCCGAATCTCGCTCCGCCGGGCCCAAATTTGAATTTCTTTGCAACGTCTGCGACAAACCGGACCATTGTAATGAAATTGGATGGCCCAACACTACCAGACGAATCAAGAATGAACACCATATCAATCTCCCTCATGCATCTTGGCTCTGAAATAAATATTGTAAATAATATTGCTTATCATATATCAGTATCTAACCTTCAGCTTCTATCCCTAAGTATAAATAATAAAAATAATATTAAATTACTAATAAAAGGCAAGATCTATGCCACATACTTTGATCAAGTATGGTGACTGTGGCAGAATCACGTGTTCCTATTCTTAAAATGCTAGGAGAGAGAGATGGAGCCAATCTACTAAGGGAAACGGTAAAGGACTCGTCCCTCTCCTCCTCATTATCTGGTACAAGGGCATATGAAGCACAGACTCTTGTCTCCCCTGGCTGGAAAGTCTTCAATTGTACTCCACCAACGTAATCATTGGGATCTGTGAAAAAGAAAAAATTAAAAATTAAAAATTAAACATTAAAAATTTGGCTCTGTGCAAAAAAATTACAATGATGCTGTATGCATTGTTTGTATTTACCATTGGCAGTGACTGAGGTTGTAGAGAAGGTGATAGATATTTCTTTGACTGCAGGGGAAGAGAGAGCAGCACAGACATTCACAGCAGGTGCAGTTTCATTAATTCTTATCTCTGATGTCTCCATTTCCACAACAATTTCTATGCAAGCAATAAAACAGATGAAATAGTATTGATATAAGATATGCTAGATCTCATAGAAGGGTTTTAAAATTAAATGTTACCTTCATCATCTCTAATGCTTATTATAGCATTTTTGTGGAGGGCAGGTGACCCCAGTATGATCCTCTCATCAGTTGCATCAACAAGAGAAGCTGTAACAGCAAAACTCTCCAAGTCTTCAGTTCCAACATTATCATCTCTTATGTTAAATGACACTACTTCAATGTTACTAGGACTGGAAGGTAAGAATTCAACAATTTCATTAATCTGGATTCTTGAGTCAATGATATTGCTTGATTGACTTGTGCTGTCTGTATAATTTATTTTTATTTTCAAGATACAGCATGATGTGAAAAGCACTTACTTCCTTTAACATGAACTCTAATTGTTTTAGCAATTGCACTTGAGAGAGCAAGTGTAATATTTGGGTGTCTCTCAGACTCTGAAAATGCAAATATCCTTTTCTCAAAACCAATGTGAACAACTATACGGAAAAAGAATCAAGTTCAATATTAAATGGTCTAATTTGAATATCAGAATTAAGCTGGTAATAATTACGGCATCTCTTCCTGGATACAATGTAGGTGGTTTCAATGCAAAGACTGGCTAAAAGAGCTAGTTGACAAACACATAAGCCATTAGCTCTAGACATGCATCACTTAATGCCTGTCTATGCCTTTGGTGTGATAACAAACAGATTCTTAAGTATTTTGACTATAACGTTTATAATTCAACTAACACCTAGTAGCACTGCATATACTGTACTTCTCAGTACATTAGATGGGACTGAGAAAGTTGTATTTCAATATAAACAATAATATTATTATTAGCTTACCGTCAGGATCAGCAATTGATAGACGAAGATCCCTATTGGTATAATGAAAAGCCGAGTCTTCTGGCTGGGAAGCAAGATTGAGTCTTAGATTGTAATTAGCATCATCTTCTAATGCAATGGAATTTTCAACTGATTGCACTTTAACGCCAAATCTCTTTGTGACAGTCTCAGAAGATGAGTTGGTTGAGAAATCAAATCGTGAGAGTGGGAGAGGATAATTTTGCAAGTCAAGGATCTGAGATAGTGCTATAAAAATTATGTATTATTTCAATTTAGGATCTCTCTCCTATTTAGTGCTCTTCATGAATGTACATGTATATACAGCATCAAGCATGCTTTCTTCATATACAAGCTTATGCATACTTACTATAATTGCATAGGCTTTAATGTGTATGCATATATGACTGCATTCATGCATGAATGAGTATTCCTTTCTTACGTCTGTTTGGATCTAAAGCTGTAGCAGACATTCTCATTGAAAGGGAAGAGAGAGTGGAAGGAAGAGGAGCTGTAGACTCTACAGTCAGGAAATGCAAACTGCTACTTCCTGGTATTCCAATGTGCATACTGGAAGCATTGAAACCTCCACCTGCAATGCGATACACAAATTATCATAATGAGGAACCCAAGGTTTACTTATGCACTGGACACATGTGAATATAGCATCCCCTTCTGGAGGTGGAGTGAGAAAACTTCCTCCCAAACTGGTGCAGCATTCGTTTGCAGTGACAGTTTGACTATCAAATATATCAAGTATTGCTAGACTATTGCAGTCATTGCCTCTAAAGCACTGCTCTATCACAGCATCAGGATCTACTATAACTGCTGTAGCTATAATGATATAGAATTATAAGGGATAATATCTTTTTCTAATTGGAGCAGCTTACCATATTGCACTACTAGAAAGAGCTGTAAAGCTATTGAGTAATGCATGATGGAGCTTTAAGTTCTGCTTTATGGTTGTGGAGTGAGCCCCGCATCTCTTTATATAAGCATTGCAAAGCCTTTAAACAGTATTCTCTCTCACACAATTGCCCACTCTTGTCTGTGGATAGTTAACACATTTGTAGTGTCTTGATATCATTTGATATAAATAAACATTCGGATCAGCTCACAACCAGCTACACAACCCGAAGATATCTATTAATAGTAACATTTTGGTTTACAAATTCTCTGAGCCCCTGCATGTGTCTAAACATGTTTGTTTTCATAAAGGCAGTAGATCTACATGTATATGTGTCAGACAAGGCGTAGCACTGTTTGACATACTCAGTCACAAGAACATGTTAGAAATTGCATTCCAAAGGACACAACCCAGTGACTCCCACCACTATAATAAGACAATACACTCTTCGGTCATAGTCACAATTTATTAGGCCTAGTCTCTGCAATTTGTAAACTGGCCCAGTGGTTACAGACAACATATGAAACAGAGGTATTCTATTTGCTTGAGTAATATATTTTGTGTGCCACTTCATGACTTCAGATTTAGTCCTACTTTGAATAGGATGCTGACTGGCTGCCAAAACTTAGAGCCAAATCAGTGACTGTTTAAAGACAATTATGGACCACTTCATTAGTAGTGTCTTCTATTTAACAGACTAAATTTTATTATCAATACTTTTAGCTAAAAGACAAAGAAACAAAAAAGAATAAAAATCACTATACTAATAAAACGACGAAATAAAGAAACAATGATCATTAATTCCAGATATCACTCATCCACTACTCAACAACTGTCACTCCTTTTAAACACAGAATACACAAACTGAGTATCAAAAGGTCCAGAAACTTCGTAATCAGTGTAGGTCCCTCTAATGACAGGGTCGTTTGGAGACTCGATTTCACGGATTTTTCCAGCTTGCTTGTTGCCAACATGCAAGCAACTAGTTCCACGCTGTGTCCAAGATCTGTAGAGTAGTCCAACAAACTGGCGCTGAGGATCCACTGGATGATTGATGGAGACTGTGTAGAGTAGGTCGTTAAATCTTGGAGGGTATGTAGACACTCCGTTGAAACTTGATACATTAATCGGAATATTCCAAAACTGACCTGTAGAAAAAATAAATGTAAAATAAATATCATTAGTATTTCCTTAACTAAATAAAATCCCACTAACATAGGTAATTTTATAAAATTTTGTACAAAAAAACTTAATTATAATAAGAATATTATTATACAGTATTACTGTAGTGCAGTAACTTGCCTATCAAGCCATGGGAATATTCATGAAGATTGAACCCCCGGGATATTATGAATTTTATCATAGTCACAGGGCCCAGATTAACTCCAGTGTATGGATCGCTAATGTTCACAGTCTCACAGACAACCCACATAACCAGACTAACATCAGCACAATTGGGGACTTTGATCCTGACCCTGTCGCTATACCTCCTTATGCTAATACCACGATGACTAAACGGAGACCTTATATCATTAGAACCAGGTCCTGGACTATTACGTGTAATGGATACACCATCATAAGTTGCAGTACAGCCATTACTATTGACTTGTATTTGATGACAATGATCGGCAGAATCAATGGCTACAATTGAAATGCTATCAATGATGTTATAAATTGGAGCATTTGTTGATTGAACGTAATGAGCCGTGACGGATGTGCAATCGTCTGAGATGTAGTTGAAGTAAGCATCAGGCTTGCCATGTATTTCATAGCAGAGATGCAGTGGGCCAGTTAGGTTAGCCACTCTTGTATATAAAATAGGAACAGTGAAGAGTGGATCACCTTGGGCAGTATCATTTCTTATTATTCCTGTAGAAAAGAAATAAAATATTTTTGGTCACTTGTAAGAATATGTTAAAGCCACAAAGGGTACAGTAATAAATAAAATTTATTCAATGATTGATGTACAATTATTACTGACAGTATAAATGTATCCTTCTTAACTATGTGACTAAAAGTGATTTCTATAGCCAAAGTCTCTAAGAATGCTAGTCAAATGACTACAAAACCAGCCTCAATACACTACATTCTTGGCTACTCTGCTTTATTTGTTATCTTTTTACTTACCGCATTCTTCTCTGTTTGGTCTAGCAAGCTGTTCAGGTGCTTCCACAAAATGGCTAGTAATGAACTCACTAACGGAAGTCCTATTCATAAAATTGGCAGTCCTCTGACAATCAGAGTAGACAAGGTCACCATTCAATGCTCCACATAGTCCATTTAAGCGCATCATCAAAGCATCTCCAAAGACAACAACAGTGACTGCATTTTTACTGAAGTTCACACTGAGTCCAATGCTATTGAGCGTGACTGTAACAGAGTCGACTTGTTGAATTATGCTGATATTGCTAACAGATGGGGCAGGCCGTGATGTAACAGAATAAGCTGAAAACACTATCTTCTGTTCATCGTGCATGATTGCTATGAGGCCGGATGATAGGGTCCTGTTTAAAAAGTCGACGCGTATGTCGATCCTTGAAGAATTGCAAGATGAGACTAATTTGTGTTCACAATTCCTGTCAAAGAGGTACCGAGCAGTTCCATTGAATGTTGATACCCATTGCGTTGAGTTAATATTGCATGTTACACCAAATTCGTCATTATCTATTAAAAAAATAAAAATAAAAATAGGAGGTATACTAAGAGTCCATTAAGCTACAGCCACATGTCAAAAGCACTCTCAGAATTTTGCTAAAAATTTTTACAAGCCATTAAAATTTTTAAATTCTAGAAAAATTTAGGTTGTACAGTATAAGAAATTTACCTTTGATTATCAGAGTGTACATTGAGCTTTGTGCTGGTACTATTCTAGAGGATGGCATTGGTGCTAATGCAAGAGCAATGGTTTCATGTTGTTCAGCTTCTGGATCATCAATGATGGAGAGAGAAGAACAAAACTGGGGCATGCCTGAAGAGAAAGGCTGCACAGCGATTGATAGCTGCTGTGGAGTAAAATCACTTGGATCTAGAAAATAAAAATCTTTAAAAATATATGCAAGGAAATCAAGTACGTACATGTGGCAGTGATTCCAGTAGCGTTTACTGGTACTGTAAAGCTAATATCAGTCGTAATGTTTGGAGTAACACAAACTGATACCGTCTCTCCTTCTGAGACCTCTTGGGTACCCGTTGGAAAAATAAGTCCCATAACTGTAACAGAATAAAAAAATAATTAAAGAAGTTGGAGAATTCCGTTAGGAACTACAGTATAGTGGTATAACAGGTTTCCTTAACAAAATTCCCATCTATTGAAATTTTGGAACAAACATTGCCCATAACTTTTAAGGCTAAAACTGGCACAAGCAGCCAAAATTTTACTCAGCCAAATTTTAAAGTTATATCTCATATAATCAGTGTACATTGTATGTCTAAATGTCAGCTCTCTGCAAGCAATTGTTGCTCAGTTAGCATGCACCATACATCTTGTCTTACCATCAGTATCTGTGATTGCAACAATAGCTGTATCGCTAGCTGCCACCAATGGACTACTTGATCTCATTCTTAGTCTGAATCTTTCCATAGCTGATTCAAATCTAGAATCACTGATTGGTGATATGTTAAAGCACGGATCAGGTCCACCCTGACGATACACTAGGGTTTGGTTTACTATAGGATAATCCACTCCATCTATAGTAACAATAGGACACCGAGTAAATTGCAATAAAAGTAGATAAAAATTCAATTTTGACTGGAATCAGCTCAAACTTTCTACACAAAATAAGTAAATGTATATGTATTAGAATAAATGATAAAAATAAAGAATTCTTTCTTAGTCATTTTTGGCAAAGTTTGGTCTACTACAATACAAGTTTTTTGGCCACAATTTTGAACAACTTTAATTTGTAAAAAATCGTAACTCTTTGCATGCATCTAAACTCATTTACCTGTTGCTTCAATTCCTTCACTGCTGACAATAATACTCACATCATTTTGTATTGCTACATTGTTACTCAATCCGACGCATATTTCAACACTCTCTCCTTCATTTACTGCATATGATGGCCTTGTAAATTCAAAGACGGCAACTATATATAAAATGAACAAATAAATAACCTGTATAATGCACATGAATTATGCCACAGTAACTTATTAGTTATGTTGTTTTAAATGCCCATAATTAAAAAATAATGTTCTATTAATGCATTAATAATCTGAAAAATAAAGGTATTTAATAAAGCCAATTTTGAATCATTTTTCCTATCTTTAGGTTCAATTTTGCTGTAGTCTAATTAGCATTCAATTTTAATGAATACTGAACACAATTTTTTTTACCATCATCTTCAATCAAGGTTATATTCATTACAGCATTTTCTTCTATTAGTGCTCCTGGGGTGCTTGTCCTCAGAGTAAGACTGAATCTCTCAGCACTTTCAATGATTGTGTCCTTAATTATGCTCATGTTAACACAAGAAGTCAGTGAATTTGTAGAGAATGAAAACACCTTAGAATCAAAAGTGAAATCAAGAAATTCTAATAAAGGGAAAAAATGAAATTAAAACAACAAAAATAATATCAGTGCTCTGAAAAATTAAAGTAGCAGCAATAGTAGTAATAATAATAATGATAATAATAATAGTAATTATGATAGTATAAAATAATGTTCATGATTTTTCCTTACCAAATGCAGTTTCATTGACAACAACAGCATCAGCAGAAACTGGAATTGCTAATTCTCTTGTATTACCAACTAATATCAAATCAGCACACACACTAACTGTCCCTGCATCTTCAGATAATGAGAGACTAGTCTGTGAAAATTCAACCCTAACTCCTACAGACAGTGCACAAGTATTCTTTAGTAATATATTACAATTTTAAAAACATCAAAATGCACCAGTATAATGCAATTATTGCATGATATTAATAGACCAAAACTCACTATTTGCATCTTCAATGGTTACTCTTAACGGACCATCGCTAATAAAAGCAGGATCAGTTGAGGAAACAGATACCAATACTTCTTCATTTCCTTCTAAAATATTATCAGCAAAAGTTACAATGAGTAGTTGATATGTCAGCCCTTTAAAGGTAAATGCTGATTCACTTAAATCAGGAACTATGTTAAAATCACTACCTAAAATATTAAATATCATTACAATATTCCATTCAAACCAATGCTAACCAGTGCTAGGTACAATTGTCATGTTCAGTGACATATTTCTAGCCAATGTTCCCTCAATAACTCTAAGGGATACAATAACTGTAGCACCTTCAATCAGTGACCATGAATTAGGTAAGAATCCAACAGTTACTCCTATTGATATTGATTTGATATATTATCAACACTTAATAAATTAATGGTGAACCAACTTGATGAAGCACTGTCAGAAATAGATACAGTAGCATTGACTAGATCAACAAATGGATCTGAGCTACTAAGAGCTAGTATTAGAGTCTCTGTAGTCTCCACAATGCTATCATTAATAATCCTCAGTACACCAGTAAACCTTTTACTGCTATTGGTGAATGTGATAGTCTCACTAACATTAGAATAATCAACATTTCCTATGGAATAAGTACACATATACATGTACATTTTAATGAAATATAAACTAACGTGTAGCAGTTCCTGGTATATCATTAACTGATACAACAATACTCCGATCAAGATTACCAGTTAGAATAACACTATAACTCAATGTACTACCATCTTCACTTGCTATAAATGAAGCCTGAGAGAAACCAATAGAAGCTCCTGATAATAAAAAAATATTTAAGTGTTGAATGCTACCCTAAATTGTATCTTACTGTCATTGTCTGTAATGCTAACAGTCTCTCTACTGATATCAAAATTCACAGCAGGATCACTAGTACTTAATAGAACAGTAACTGTTTCTGTATTCTCAATAATATCATCTTCAAGAGGAACAAATGACACACAATGTTCATTGACACTAGAATTGAATATAAATACAGAACTGGGCAAATTATAATCAACTCCTAAGGAAATAATAATAATTACAATGTTTTATAATAATTATAACTAACCAATAACAGCTGTATTAGAACTAGATGATACATTAACTGCAACATTTCTTGCCAATATTCCTTCATTTACTCTAAAACATATACTGACTGGGCTAGATCCTTCTTCTACTGACAATGATGTCATTAAGAAACCAATAGTTACATCTACAAGAGAGAGATAGAGCCTATTAATACTACACTAAAGTACTCCTTACCATCATTATCAGATATCATAACAGCAACAGTTCCAGGTGACAAGTTTATATTGGCTCCTTCTACAGGTCTTAGTGACAGGCTAATTGTAAAGCTTTCCTCTCCTTCAACCAAATCATCTTCTCTTATTGTAATTGGAACATTTTGAGAAGAGCTGGTACCACTTAGCATAATGCTTGCATTAACTACACCATTGAAATCCTCACCAGCTAAATGAAGGGTCAATTTAGAATAGAATTTCTTTTACAATAATTCTTACCTAATGCAGTCCCATCAAGTGTTGATAGAGAGAGTGTGATTGGTATTTCCAGTTTACCGATAACTTCAACTCTTGCATCAAATGAGCCACCACCTTCAGAAACAGCATCAGTTGGTCCAATAAGCCTGACTGTAGCAACTGCAAATAACATTGCACCATTAATGTGTACCAACTTTAGGAAAAACATTAATTTAAAGTGACATAAAAAGCCATAATAGTCAAGCAAAAATTAAATAAAGCTACATGTAATGGAATTGTGAGAACTACTACTATTGTGGGTACTATCTCAAGCTAGGTGTATATGCAGCAGCTTTTTTACCATCATCATCAATTAGCTGAATTCTTAGATCGTCACCAAAAGATACACTGTTTGAAGTAGAACTCATTCTTACACTAAAAGTCTCAGTTCCTTCAACTCCATCATCTCCTTGAAGTGTAATGTTGGTACAGTTGACTCCTATCTCTGGACTGATTGTAAGTGGTACATTATTGAGTGGAAGGAAGTCATTTAATTCTGAGGAAAAAAAAGCAAAGTTTTATGCTTAAATAAACCTGTGGCAATTACCAGCAGCTGATCCTTCTATGGTGTTCAATAGGACCTCAACAGATCTTTGAAGAAACTGACTGTTTTGTGCTCTCACACAAACTGTCACAAACTGGGCCTCTTCAGATACAGGAGGCACACTCTCAAAATTTAAAGTTATTCCTATTAAAAGAAATGTGAATAGGGGGTGGCTCTAGTGGATCAACTTACCATCATCATCTATGATGTTGACTGTGATTGTTGGAGCTGTAACACGAGGACTGCTTGAGGACAATGCAAGTTGGAATCTTTCTTCATTTTCTACATTCTGATCGTCGGTTACATTAAATGAGTAGCAGTGAGTCATGCTGTCAGAAACGAATGTGAACGATCTATTCATTGCTGAGTAGTCAACTCCTTCTAAAATGAATAAAAATGGTGTGGAAGTAAATGAATCGAATTTATTGAGTAGCAATTAAAATATCAATCATGTTGCAGATATGGTTATTATTAAGGTTTCTGATATACATTGATATTATTATCCTATGCAGAAAGTTTGAGCTGACTTTAAGCACAAATTCTTGAGCTATGAGCATTAAAAAAAACATTCAAATATCAGTTTGAAGCAGAAAAGTTTAATTCCTTCTTAATTACATAATTATAAGCATTGCCATTTACCAAGGGCAATATAGTATAGTATTAATAGAGTGAATTGACTATACTAACCAGTAGCTCCTAAAGATGTTGCAGTTACATCAATTGTCACTGCAGTGCTTGTACTATCAATAGCTCCACTTGAGACATTGAAACAAAACTGAACAGTTCCATTAGATTCTAGCACATTTATTGTATTGCTAGGTAGAGATGTTGCAATTGCTAGCACTAAAATTAATTTTGAAAATCAATTTGTTAAAGGTGAAATGTGGTTTGCTTACTATCATTATCTTGAATGATAATGGTAGATACATTATTAATGAAATGAACTGCCACATCATTAGAAGATATGATAGCATTGAAGTATTCATCAATCTCATATAGTGAATCTTGTCTTATGTTAATATCAGCACATTTGGACATCACGGTTGAATTGAAAACAAGCTGTACCATTGAGATAGATATGTAATCTGAACCTCCTTTTAAAATGAAAAAAAAATCATTTAATGTGAAGAAATATACAATTTATAATTAACCTCTGGCAGTGCCATCAACAGTTGAGAGTAATACAATGACTTCTCGAGGTGATTCTATTTGACCACTGAACCTATCAACACAAACTACAAGAGTTTGATCACTCTCGTTAACAGGTATAGATAGCACAGGAAAACCAAAATTAACTCCTAGAAATGAACTACTAGGAACAACAAGTTGCTAATGGTCAACCAACTTGATGTAGCACTGTCAGCAATAGATACAGTAGCATTGACTAGATCAACAAATCGATCTGAGCTACTAAGAGCTAGTATTAGAGTTTCTGTAGTCTCCACAATGCTATCATTAATAATCCTCAGTACACCAGTAAATCTTTTACTGCTATTGGTGAATGTGATAGTCTCACTAACATTAGAATAATCAACATCTCCTATTGAATAAAGTATACATTTAATGAAATAGTAAAAATATAAACTAACGTGTAGCAGTTCCTGGTATATCATTAACTGATACAACAATACTCCGATCAAGATTACCAGTTAGAATAACACTATAACTCAATGTACTACCATCTTCACTTGCTATAAATGAAGCCTGAGAGAAACCAATAGAAGCTCCTGATAATTAAAGTAAAATAATAGCATTTCTAAATCAATTTATCTTACTGTCATTGTCTCTAATGTTAACATTTTCTCTACTAATATCAAAATTCACAGCAGGATCACTAGTACTTAATAGAACAGCAACTGTTTCTGTATTCTCAATAATATCATCTTCAAGAGGAACAAATGACACACAATGTTCATTAACACTAGAATTGAATATAAATACAGAACTGGGCAAGCTATAATCAACTCCTAAGGAAATAAATAATAATTACAATGATTTAAAATGATTAACTAACCAATAACAGCTGTATTAGAACTAGATGATACATTAACTGCAACATTTCTTGCCAATATTCCTTCATTTACTCTAACACATATACTGACTGGATTAGATACCTCTTCTACAGAAATTGACTCCATTGTGAAACCAATACTTACATCTATTGATATTTATAATGAATTTCAATTAATATCTCTTGACACTAACTTGATACATCAGCAATAGATACAGTAGCATTGACTAGATCAACAAATTGATCCGAGCTACTAAGAGCTAGTATTAGAGTCTCTGTAGTCTCCACAATGCTATCATTAATAATCCTCAGTACACCAGTAAACCTTTTACTGCTATTGGTGAATGTGATAGTCTCACTAACATTAGAATAATCAACATCTCCTATGGAATAAAGCATACATTTAATGGAATATTAAAAATATAAACTAACGTGTAGCAGTTCCTGGTATATCATTAACTGATACAACAATACTCCGATCAAGATTACCAGTTAGAATAACACTATAGCTCAATGTACTACCATCTTCACGAATTGTAAATTCAGCTTGAGAGAAATCAATAGAAGCTCCTGATAATTAAAGTAAAATAATAGCGTTCCAAAATCAATTTATCTTACTGTCATTGTCTGTAATGCTAACAGTCTCTCTACTGATATCAAAATTCACAGCAGGATCACTAGTACTTAATAGAACAGTAACTGTTTCTGTATTCTCAATAATATCATCTTCAAGAGGAACAAATGACACACAATGTTCATTAACACTAGAATTGAATATAAATACAGAGCTGGGCAAGCTATAATCAACTCCTGTAAACATAAATAGTAATTACAATGATTTAAAATGACTAACTAACCAATAACAGCTGTATTAGAACTAGATGATACATTAACTGCAACATTTCTTGCCAATATTCCTTCATTTACTCTAAAACATATACTGACTGGATTAGACCCTTCTACTACTGAAATTGACTCCATTGTGAAACCAATAGTGACACCTATTAATCATATCAATTCTGAATCTTTTCATATTCAACCTTACTGTCATCATTAATGATAGTTAAGTTCAATACAGGAGGATTGAAACTAGTGCGGGATCTAAAAAAATCTGCTTCAGCAACACTTTGAAGAGCAATGCTGACACCAAACATTTCATCCTCCTCTGTCATCTGATCTTCATCAGTATCAATCAAGAAACAAGTAGATCTATTCCTTTGTGTTAATATTGGAGACAGATTACTATCCATGGTACTATAATCACCTTCTACAATAAAGATTTGACAATCTGCATGCTTCAATAGCATTACCTTGAGTAGGGAGATATGGTATTAGTGTTAGAGATACTGGTATGAAGTGTGGAGCAACATCATTTGGTTCAGTTACAGATACACACACATTGAATGACGAGCCTTCACTGACAAAAGTCGAGTCAGAAATGAGACTTAAAGTAACATCTACAGAAGATAGCAATCCATTTAATCTTACATGCACATATTACTCACTTTCATCATCAGTTATTATCACATTGACTGAATTTGTCGGAGAAAATTGAATACCCGATTCATTGCTAGCAGGTTGAAAAGTTATGATAGCAGTTTTAATGTCCTCTAGAGTCTGATCATCAATAGGAGTGATGCGCAATACTGCACTAGTTCCATCAAAAACCAAAGAATTAGCAGGCAAAAATGTAACATCTCCTAAAAAAATATATTGCAAGCTAAAATGTGATTGTATTGCAATCCATTTTTATGTGAAAAATAACCAATTTACAATCACAAGCGTATTAATTTCCAAGATTCGCATAAAGCAAATTTGAAAGAGGATAGGGATCATTTTTATGTTCCATATAATAACTAAACCACTGGCTACTGCATGATAATAATAATATTAGCATTGGTGATCATAATACCAGCTAATGATGGTGTAACTTGATAGTTGATGACCGTATTGGTTAGTTCAGACATGACTCCAGCTTGTGGTAGAATGCTTAAAGAAAGACTGCCACCATTCTCACTCAATCGCAGCGTGCTTTGATCAAACATGAGCGAAAGAGCTAAAAAAATTTCAAAAAATTAACAATATGCTATGACTCTACTTACTGTCATCATTGTTGATCTGAATCACAATGATTTGATTGTTGAATCTGATACGAGGATCAGGATTGGTTGACTCAATTAGCAAGACGAATCCTTCGGGATCTTCGACGATGGTGTCATCAGTGACTAGCCCATTCATACTCACAGGAAATGAGCCAGATGAATTACCCGTTCTTAACTGAATAGCTGTGCTATTAAAATCTTGCTCTAAGATAAGAATCATACTGAATTATAATTAATATTATTAAACCTAGCTATTATACCTTCAGCAGGATTAGAAGGAGCATTTGTTATGCTACTCAGTGAAGGTAAATTATTATTAGTAGCAGTTTTGTTAGAGTATTGCCGATAGGTTAGTGGTGTTACTGTGATATCTACTGGTACTGCTGTCTCTTTGTCTTTACTGAGAGTAAATGAAATGCTACCACCTTCTTGGACCTCAAAAAATGAAGGATTAGCAGCGATTGTTAAAACTGTAAAAAATTGCATGAAAAAAAGTGAGATATTAAAAAATATTAAGACATGTCATTATATAGCATTTCTCACCATCTTCATCTATAATTATGATAGTGGTATCGTGCGGTCCAAATATATCTATAAAGCCTCTGTTAATCAGGGTTATATCAATGACTTCGATTGGCTCTAATGCAATGTTGTCATTTATTATATCAATATCAATATCAGTATCAGACGGCACTCTTCTCAAATAATCAAACATTTGACTAGTAAAAGAGTAGTCCACATCTATATATAGTGTACAACGTAAAATATAACTGATAGAAATTATTGATAAAGTTCATTTACTTTCTGTAGCATTTGTTGAAGTTATTGAAGCAGTGAGTAATATTATTTCAATCAGTCCCAAACTGAATAATTTAATGGGAATAGTCTGTGGCCCACTCTCTGTCAGAGTGATGGTGCTGTTTTCAAATCCAATAACTAATTAAAATAGCTCAGTACTTGCTTGGTATATCATGGTTACTTACTCTGGCAAGGGTCACAAGGTTCACCGGATACCCTGTAGTAGATATTGCAGGCATCGTCAGCTCTTTCGCCACAGTTTTCTGGAATGCCTGATAAACGCTCCAAGCTGCAACAGTCCTCATGAGTAGTAGTCTCAGGAGTTCCTGTGCATGGATTCTGCACAAAACATGACATGGGCTGGCTCTCAACACCTGGAGCAAAGAAATAAAAGACGTTAATTTTGTACGAGCATTGGCCGGCGGGCCATTATACGCTGTACAGGCATGCATTTACAATAGAATTTAGCTTACCTCTAAAAAGGAAAGCGGAGAAAGCAAAAATTAAAAGCCCTAAAGGAGCCATCTTCTCCAAAGATCAAAACACCTCGAAGTGTAAACTAAAATTAAAACCAGGAAAGGCAGGGACGCGCGGCGCTACTCACCGCAAACGGGCCTATTGCTGCACTAAAATAACTTTTCGTAACAGAAATTATAGTACTCAATGACCAAAATACTATGATCGTGTATAAAAAGTTAGCTCAGTGTGCAAACTTCCAAGTTATACTAAAATTTCATGTCAGTAGTTCTTGAATGGATTAAAATCACAGCACATAAATAATTATAAAACAGTCTGGACCAGAAATTGTCTTGAGGTAATATACATAGATTATGATTTCAGTCTTGCTTAATCTGATAGTACACATACACATAATAGTACACACAATGATACATTTAAGGAGAAGCAGTGCTGTGACTGGAACTGACTGCAGACAAGTGCTCATCCAAATAACTCTGCAATGATGATGATGATAAATAACAGCAAAAAAGTGAAATAAAAACATGACCACTTGTTGTACTTACGCAGGCAGAATTGATATCAGTCCCATCTGAAAACATGTCCAAAAACGGTGGATCACTACTGAGGTGAAAAAGATCCCCAGGCCCATGTTGATCGGGAGCAAATGCTGGCTTCTAAAAATTAATAGAGTTCCAACATTATTATAGCTAATATACAGGTAGATCTGTACCATTTTTTCAAGGTCTAGCATAATAAAGCTATCCTGATTGGTACTGTTTATAGTAATGGAGTTTTCATCTGAAGACTGTCTGTAGATGTCTCCTTCTATACCTCCTCCTCTTTCACTCTCATGGTGGTGATGATGATGATGATGGTGAGTCTATTACAAAAATCAGTATTATAATTATAATACTCTTGATATTGTCCAAGTGAGTATAATATAATCAAAATGGGCTTATAATGATTACTGATGCTTGAAATTATAATCCCAGGGGGCCCACTTTGGTCATTTTGTTTCCAGTCCCCATAAACTCTCATTATTAAATAAAGTAACCTACAAGGGATAGAGATGCTTCAGTGGAAGGAGTATATGCCATGTCAGGCATTTGTTTAGGAAGAACCTTTGAGAAAGGCTGATGAGTAAAATCCTGTGAAAAGGAAAAAAAGAGAGGGAAGGAAGAAAAAGAGAAAGGGAGGAAGAGGTAAAAGATCGAAGGAGGAAAGGAATAGGAAATGGAATAAAAACTTGTGCGAACCTACTTGTTGTGGTTCTTCAGAGAAATGAGAATAAAAGGGATGAAGCCTATCATCTTCCATGGAATTAGCCATAGCAGCATCAACTGTATCATACCCTATTGAAGAGGGCCTGAAAGGTGGGAGAGAGAGAGAGGAGAGAAAAGAAGTAGTGGAAAGGAGGAAAAAAGAGAAGTAATTGACAGATGTAAAATAAAGATACAATCATTATGTAGAGTTTATTGATTTAAACATCACATCAAAATTTTATATTAGTTACATTGTACATGCACATTACGATCATTGATATGTATCTTCCAATCTTTAATATAATGTAAACAAAGTTAAATATACTATATTTATCATCTTTCACAAAGTATTATTATTACTACTAAGTAATAATTATTTAATTATCATTTATTATTTTACCTTTCAGGTTTAGTAAAAGTAGTAATGTACTCAATGGAGACACCCACCAGACCATAGGGGGATAAAACTTCACTTATAACTGATCGCTGGACATCTATAAATGCAAATAAAACAAATAATGCTACTAATAATACTGTTAATAATTACCATCTATCTGGAAATTTTTACTGTGATTTAAATTTTACTGAATTAGAATTTCGCAATTACCATATAATTACATGCCACATTCAATAATACATGACACAGTCTTATTCAGTAAAAAATTAAATCACAGCATAATTTTAAAACACAAGAATTTTCTACCACACTAATTTTCTGATCTACAGTATACAATTTACATGCAGAATTCAATGCAATACTATAGAAGTGCCTGTAAACATTTGCATAATGCAATAGTTTGAAAATATTCAACTCTTCCAATATGTTACAGGCTTTCACAGTCATAACATGATATACTGTGGTGTAAAAACTGTAAATGTATAAAGTAAAGTGTAAAGTCTTAGATATTAACAAGGACGTGGACATGTACTGTGTGTGTGTTTTTGGTGAAGACTCTCTCTTCCTTTAAGATTCCTTTCATCTTAACCTCACAACAAGAAACATGTGTGAGGATACTAGCTAATTTATTGGATGGTGAGACTGGCTGTCTTCATCAAACCACATCAATCCAACTATCATGTACATGTACAAGTACTATACCTGTGTACATGTACATGTATGTATGATATCAGGTAAACAGAAGCAGACAGATGTTTAATTGCAGTGTGTGTGGGTGTGTGCAGTTTACCTCTTGAGGCTTCAAACTCATTCTCTTGACTTCCAGAAGATATAACATACCTTTAACAATACCACAGATTAAAAAAGAAAAAAAGAGGAGAGAGAGAGAGAGAGAGAGGGGGGGGGAGAGAAAGCAAAATTATATCGAAAAGACATGACATTTTTGAAGACTAACGAAAACTTTAAGTTCTCATTCTTCCTGCAGAGCTGATAGGCAGGGACAACCCTGGTCATGGCCAGAAGGGACCTCAAAAGAAGGGAGAACCTTGAGTAAAGAGAGTGCGTGACAGAAACAGTAATATCTCTCTTTGATGTATCAAGAGACAAATGCCACACCTCCACTAAGAAATTGTCGCCCTGAGAGTCAAGAGTAACTGATGTGTGTATTAATTAATGGGGGCGTGTACCTCGGCTGTTTCCATGGTGATCTCAATGTTAATAGGGGCGTGGTTGGATGGAAGCGGCGTCTCTAATTTTCGTTTCAGTTCGCTGACGACTTCACGTTTTTCGGGGAGAGCTAAATTGAACTAAACGTAGACAGAACAAACTTTAAAAACTTGATGAACATTAGTGCTATGGCAACAGAGTACAGGTGCTAAATAGGATAGGATGTAATAATTGGTTGATTTGATTGACACTAATTTGCACTTTTAAAATGAATTGTTATTAACAACTGAAAATGAGGTGGGGAATTATGATTGGCTACAGTATAGGGTATTGTGTAGAAATTTTGAGTCGATTCGAATCTAAATTAGATCTTTTACAAATTTTTAAAGTTGCTCCAAAATTGAGTCAAAGTCCCTGTACTATAGTACAGGGTCATCAGCCAAATTTCGTCAAAAATGAAAAGGTAAAAATTTTCCATTTTTATAATTTTTTCTGATGCATATACATGTATTTATGTTGTGTAGAAAGTTTGAGCTAATTCCAATCAAATTTCAATTTTTTATGAATTTTTAAAGTTGCTCCAAAATCGGGCCAAAGTCACTGTACTATAGTACAGGGTCATCGGCCAAATTTCGTCAAAAATGAAAATTTGAGAATTCTCCACTTTTATAATTTTTTCTGATGTGCATACATTATCTTAAGTTGCATAGAAATTTTGAGCTGATTCCAGTCAAGTTTAGATTTTTTTACGAATTTTTAAAGTTGGTCCAAAAGCCAGGCTTGCTTTAAGCTTACTTAGCATGCTTTATGGGAAAGCCTGTCCATATGTACATGTATAAGACACTGACTCCTGTGTGTCCCCTATGATAAAAGCTACACACAAATGGGCCTGAAATCATGAATTTATCATTGTTGTATCCAGGAGTCAATATTATAAATTCCTGTTGCATTGTTCAAGGAAGGTATGAATATAACAGAAAAGGCAAGCAAGAAACACTTGTCATTAATTGCAAAAAACCATTAAGGTGCTCTATACACTACAACAAATTACAAATGGAGGCTGTGTCGGATTACTTTCTGTTCCGTCTAATTGAAAATTGCTCTTTAAATTTAAAAATGATCTTTATGCACGCTACATTTACATTTTACATAATAATAATCAAAATACTCGCTACATTAGAACCTCACATCACACGAGAAAACAAACTTGTAAGTCAATGTACAAACATGTTTTGTCACGTGATTTGAGGCTGATACTAATAAATAAAGTACCCACCCATTCTGTGCTCCCAGAATTCGACTTTGTTTTCAATTTGTAGCCTTCGCGGGATTGGACAATGATTTGTACGGCCTAGATTGACATTTGTGAATCATAATGATAAAGAAAAAGGGCACGCCACTCACCTTTTGAGTAAGAAATTTAAGATACTTGTCAAACTCTCTTTTATCCTGTGTCGCCATTTTAAATGAAGGCGGGGCCACAAACAATTATTTGCATGGCGCCAGAACACCCGCTAATAAATTCCCGCGGTATGACGTCACTTCGGCGGCAAAATTAACCCCGCCTATCAGCACATGCAAAAAAAACAAAAACAACAACAAGTACATGGCGGCTACAACTTCTTTGCTTTGGGTTGTTGTAGTCCTTTCTACGACCTTATTCGAGCCCTATGTAGCTAACCCACTGTACAGAAGAGGTAATAAATTACTCTGTGTAATAATTCTATTATAATTTGAATCATTATTCCTAGGCCTTCCATTGCCTCCAGATCATGCTACTTCTGCAAGCCATTACGGGAACCGTTTCTCAATCTCATTCCCTTCATCCACTTACGATGCCTCGTACTACATTCACTTGATACCGGAATTACCTACTCCCATAGAGCTAATCATCAACATCACTGACTCGCTTAGCTTGCTATGGCCCCTGAACGGATCTCTGATCGGCCGCAGCATAAGCAGACTCAATTTAACTTCAAATCATGCTGTTGTCCTTCCAACAGACTCTGCTGTCGATAGAAACATATTAATATACTCTTCTAATCCGAATCAGACCTTTAGTGTAACTGGAGTTGCAAAATCGGATCATTTCACTTCAACTTTTCTTGCTTTGCCACCCATTGCTCATAACTTCATTAAAAGATACCAGTACACTCAATTCTCTCTTCCAATTGAAGATACGACGAACAACGACTACTCCATGTTTTTACTCAGTGACGTTTTCAATAGAGTAGCCCCTTTCTCACTTGCACCTCCAAATCTAGAAGAAAAGGTCCAGATTCGAGATGTGTATCAATTGTTTGCTAACCCACAACGAACCATACAGGGTTTTCCGACCCCCTTCAGGTCTTTAAGACCAGATGACACCTTTCATTTTGAGAGCTCTACTGTCGATATGACTGGTATCACAGTCTGGGGGGAAGAGCCGTTCAATTTCATTGCGTCCCAAGTTTGTAATATAAACCCAACAAATAGAAACTGTCGCCAAGTCATTGAACAGATACCTCCATCGCATACTTGGGGTTACTTATTCCATATAATGCCCTTTGAAGACCCTCCAAATCCAGGCTACCTTATTCGTATCCGCCCACTTTATCACAATAGTTCCGTGACGTACAACTGCCATGATGACATTGAAGACAGCACAGACTTCTCGCTAGAAGGTTTAGACATTGACATCAAGTCACAGACTCCTTGTGTCATCACAGCAGAGCAGCCTATCGCTGTAATGCAGTATTTTATAGACGAGGACATTGCGTTAATGGTTTGGGTAGCGCCTGTCAGTCAGTACCAACAAGTCTCTGCTTTTTACGTCCCGTCATTTGGACCCGATTTCAAACACTACATAACAGTGACAGTCAATGAGAGATGCTTTAATTCATCACTTATTCTCATTGATGGACTCCCAATCGACTCTGATTCAAACTCTTGGACTCCTTTATATTGTAGCAATGCTTCCAGTGATGCCTGTGGATATGGTTACTCTACTAATGTTAGCAGTAGAGACAGGAGGTATACCGTGGAGCATGTGGATGAGATATGTGCCGTTAACATAATCAGCTATGGATGGAGCAGCAGTTCTGGATATGCTCATTCTTGTGGGTATAAAATGGAGCCGATTGGAAGTGAGTATCGTTATCTTCCAAGCATCTCTAGTATTATTATAATAATAAAAACCAGACCCTGGTGTGTGGGTATTGTAATTGTGATTTAAGAATACTAAAATTTAAAAGATTATGACAGCTGCCACTGTACTTATAATAAGCATATTTGCAATTATTCTGTTCACCCACAGCCCAATTATAGAGCCCACCCTTGAATGATTGAACTGGTTTCATGCTGACCACAATGTGGTGTCTTTGAAGCCTTTTGGAGGAGGACAAGAGAGAGAGGGGGGGACAAAGAGAGAAAGGGATAATCACTTAGTCTGCCATTGTTAGCAAATAAAAAACCTGTTGATTGCTCATAATTTACTTATCCATTTTCTATTGACATAATCATCATCACTGCAATGTATTATATTATTATTATATTCTCCCATACACACATGCAGTCCCCATACTGTCCATAGATCATGGCGAATACAATGGCGATGAAGGTGACAATATCACTATTAGCTTAACAAGAAGAGGCCACATACTAACTGATTTAACTGTTAGATATGAATTGAGGACACTGACCGATATACCAGGTAAGAGAAGGGCGCAATGAAGAAATTAAGTGTGAAAAAAGAGAGAGAATCAAAGAAATGAAAGAGACTTAATTATTTATAATAATTATTATTATTATTTCTTTTTAAATGTATAAGTATTTTTTTATGATCATTCCTATTTCTGTTCTAATTGTTATACTTATGTCTATTCGTAGGGCTAAATATATCTGAAAGTTTCCGAAGAACAAATGGTCAAATCACCATTAGCAGTAACACTACTAATTTTAATCTTGTGCTGCATGGAATCGATAACAGAATAGCCGAGGCTGAAAGGCTCTATATAAAATCATTTATCTTACATTTATTTCCTATTGATGGTGACGATGTGTACATGCCTTATAACACGACAATCATTAGGATTAAGGATGATGACAGTAGGTTTTTTTTCCAATTAAATTACCTTTATCTATAAATTATTTTTTCTTGCTTTATTTAAGCCCTTTACAAACTTATCCATATTGAGATATTGGTAGAAACTCCATTAGTTTAAGGACTACTCCATGGTTGTGGAGTGTACATGTATTTATAATACCTGACCAAACTAACACTTGATATTCCTGAAAAGACTAAATTTGATATTATATCCATGAATAGCCAATTCACCTTAAAATACTGTATAATTAATTATTATTAAACCCATACTGCTAAAGGGCTGCACTTTAGTATTGTGTACACTTAGAACATTGATAGTGATCATTTTATGAAAACAAATGGTTTAAATTCCTCTCTCTCTTTCTCCTTTATCTCTCATCTTCTCTCTCTCCCTATCATTAGTACTAACAATTGGTTTTGAAGTTCCTACTGTCACTGTGACAGAAGGTGATACTGGCTTGAACTTTATTCTGCGCTCTAGAGCTGGTATTATTGATGGCGGTACTGGTATATCAGTAACATTAACTACCATTAACGGAACAGCTCTTGGTAAGTACAATGTATTGAAGCAATTGAAGCACTGGAATGATATTAAGTTTGCTTGCACTATTGTTATACATATTGTATAGCTGAAAGTACTGTATATTAGGAAGTTTTGGAGGTTGTTAAATTTTGTGAATTTGGTGTTTTGATAGCCATTTGCCAAAATAAAAATCTGCCATTTTGAGCCATTATATGCAAGCTCAACGGCATGTGGCCGCAAATTTCCCAAATTAAAATTTGCCAATCTTCAAAATTTTAGCAATTCACTAAATTTAACTCACTCCAAAATTTCCCGCTTTACGGTATTTGTGTGACTTATATTTTGCAATTTTCTGCTAAGAGCAAAATTTGAAATTTAATGTACACACATGCTTTTGTAGTTTTTCGCAATAAAAAAGTTTTTACTTTCCCTCCCCTCTCTCTCCTTCCCCTCCCACTCAGTTAATGAAGATTATGAACGCATTAATGATGGTACCCTTCGTCCTGGGCGATCGCAGTGGTCTCTTCCATACACCATAAGGAGTGATAGCATCGTGGAACCCGTTGAATACTTCACAGTTAGTTTAGGACTCAGGCTGGTCAGACCAAGACCAAATGTACGACTAGGACTTAACAGGCTCAACGTAACAATCATTGACGATGACAGTAAGGAAAACTGGAATTAAGTATTATTATTAATTTATTTTAATTGTTTTTTTTTGAAGGAGTTTTTTTCAGGTTTGGGCAGGCAAATTATTCTTTGCCGGAGAATAACGGCTCAGTAGTGGTTACTGTTAACATGGGTGGTACCACACGCATTCCACTGAAAGTGTCAATTGAGACATTTGATATCACTGCATATGGTAATTTACTTTACTTTTAGGAGCAAAACTTGGTGTAAGAGCTTGCAGCTGTGAAATTAAAACTTTGTAGGATATTTGATAGCCATTATGGGATATACACATTACTAGCTTTGCAAAGTTATAATTCTGCAAAAAATTGTATTTATGAATCCACATCAGTTTTGCTTGCA